GTATTACGATTATTATTATTATTACTACCACTGTTACCATTATTACTACTACTGCTATTAGTACTAATACAAATGCTATTACTACTACTACTACTACTATTACAAATATTACTACTAATAATAATGCCACTTCTACTAAAACTAGGGCTACTAATAGGGTTACTACTACTGCTACTTATACTACTACTATTACTAATACTAATATTACTACTAGCATAACTACTGGTGCCACTACTATTAATACTGGTTATGCTACTACTACTACTACCAATAGCATTACTACTACTGCCACTACTACTTCTACTATTACTACTAATACTTTTACTTCTAATTATAAAACTACAAATAATAAACCACTACTACTAATACTATGGCTACCAATACCATTAATAATATTACTAATGCTACTTCTACTACTATTACTACTACTACTACTATTACTACTGATACTACTGCTGCCAATACCACTAATATTAATAATACTACTCCTAATACTATTACCACAATTATTACTACTACTATTAATACTACCACTAATACTACTACCACGACTAGTACTACTACTACTAATATTAATACTAATACTACTGCCACTACTACTACTTTTACTGCCAGTATAACTACTAATGTCAATACTATTGCTAATGCTACCACTACCACTGATAATATTACTACGGCTAGTACTACTATTATTATTACCACTAATACTACTATTACTACTGCTACTACTAATACTATCACGGTTATTTCTACTGTACTAATATAATACTATTGATACTACTACTTTTACTACTGCTACTACTACTACTACTACTACTACTAGGACTACTACTACTACTACTACTACTACTACTACTACTAGTAATACTAATAATACTGCTAATAATAATGTTACTAATAATATTATTACTACAATTACTACGATTAATACTAATGCTCCAACTAATGATACTACTACTAATACCACTACTAATATTGCTACTACTACTACTAGTACTACTACGGCTGCTATTACTGGTACTGATACTGTTACTACTACTAGTGATACTATTGCTATTACTGCTACTATTATTAATATTACTACTAATACTACTACGAATACTACTGCTACTACTTCTACTGCGACTACTGCTAGTACTAATAATATTACTACCACTAATATTACTACTAATATCTTTACTTCTACCGCTCCTACGACTACTAATACTACTTCCGTTTTTAATATTATTACTACCACTAATACTGCTGATACTTCTACTATTAATACTACCACTATCACTGCTAAAATTACTACTAGTGCTACTACTAGTACTACTACTATTACCACTACTACTACTACTGCTGCTACTACTTCTGCTACTATTATTACTACTACTAATAATGCTACTACTACTACTACTACTACTAGCACTAATACTGCTACTAATACTGCTACGACTACTACTCCTATTATTACTAATACTTATGCTGCTGCTTCTCATAAAACTACTAATCTTATTACTGCTACTACTACTACTACTACTACTATTCTTACTAATACTACCACTTCCACTAACACTACTACTACTACTAATACTACAACTACTACTGTTGCTACTACTACTACTACCAATATTACTACTGGTATTACTATTACTAATACTACTACGACTATTGCTAATATTACTAATACTACCGCTGCCACTGCTACTACAACTACTGATGACACGACTATTACAACAACTAATACTACTACCACCATTACTGTCACTATAGTATAAGCAATAATACTACTACTACTAGTACTGCTACTACTGGCACACCTATTATTACTACTACTACTAGAACTGCTACTAATTCTTCTGGTATTACTACTACTACTGCTAATACTACTGCTGCTATTACTACTACTACCGTTCCTATTATTGTTACTACTACTGGTGCTACTACTACTAACACTACTGATATTACTACTGCTATTAATACTATTAATACTACTGCTGCTGCTGCTACTACTACTACTACTAATATTACTACTACTATTGTTGTTACGACTGCTAATACTACTGCTACTGCTACTAATACTTTTATTATTATTACTATTTCTACTACTCCTACTACTCCTACTAATACTACTATTACCAAAACCACTAATATAATTACTAATATTACCGCTAATAATACTACTACTGCTATTACCACTACTACAACGAATGCTTCTACGAATAATACTATTAGAATCACTGCTGTTACTGCTACCGTTACTACTACTACTACTAATACTGCTAATTCTACTGCTCTTAGTACTAGTATTATTAATACTTTAATGCTACTATTACTAGTACGACTACTACTAGTACCGCTACTACTAATAATAATAATACTAATGCTAATGGAACAACCACTACTGCTACTAATATTATTATTACCACTCGTAATACTAAAAGTACTATTTCTACCAGTACTAAAAATAATACTACTACTAATATTACCACAAATATTACTGATACCACTGCTACTACTACGACCACGACTACTGCTACTACTGCTACTACTGGTGATGCTACTACCAATATTATTAATACTACTATTAATATTAATACTAATTATACTACTACTAGTACCACTAATACTGCTACTACTATCACTGAATCTACTCCTACTACCACTGCTACAACTAATACTAGTATTACTATTACTACCACTAATAATACTACTACTGATACCACTAATAATACTTCTGCTGCTGCTACCAATATTACTACTGCTAGAAGTACTAGTACTACTACTACTATCACTAATATTACTACTAGTAGTAATAATACTACAACTAATATTACTACTAATAGTACTAATGCTACTACTACTACTACCAATACTACTGATACCAGTAATACTACTGCTACTACTACTACTACGACTACTATTGCTGCTGCTACTACTACTAATAATATTGCTGCTACTACTACCACTTCTACTAGTACTGCTACTACTAATACTACCGCTACTAATCCTACTACTACCACTACTATTATCACTATTACTAGTAGTACTAATACTACTACTACTAGTAGTACTACAACAACTACTACTAGTGCTACTATTAGTGCTCCTACTGTTACTACTACAGCAACTACTACTACTAAACTATAATTAATATTAATTTATTGCTACTAATATGGTTATTACCACTACTGCTACTAATACCACTACTAATACTACTGCTACAGCTACTACTACTGCTGCTGGCAGTACTATTACTACCACTCTATTGCTACTACTAATTCTATTAATACTACTATCACTAGAAATAATACTACTACTAATTATACTGCTACTAGTGCTACTAGTATTACTACTATTATTACCGCTGGTATTACTACTATTACTACTAATAATATTGCAGCTACTGTTACGACTACCAAAACTAATACTAATATTACCAGTGTTATTACTGCTAATGCTGCTACTACTACTAATAATAATACTACTACTGCAAATGTTACTGCTATTCCTAATGCTAATAATATTGCTACTATTATTAATACTACGAATATTACTAATAACGATATCACTGCTGCTGCTAGTACTACTACCAGTATTAGTACCACTGCTACTACTACTAGTACTACAAAAAATAATACGAATACTGCTTCTACTAATAATAATATTGCTACTACTACTATCACTACTGCAACTGCTACTACTTCTAACACTACTAATATTACTACTTCTAATAGAACTGCTACTACTTCTACAACTACTCTCAGTAATACTAATATCAATACTACTACTGTTACTAAGAATACGATTACTACTACTGCTACTATTATTACTACTACTACTACTACTATTCTAATGCTGATATTAATATTACTAATAATATTGCTACTAGTACTACTACTAAAACTACTACGGGTACCACTCAAAGTACTAATATTACTAATAATTCCAATAGTGCTGCTACTACTACAACTACTACTACTACTACCAATACTACTACCAATTATACTACCACCATTACCACTTCTAGTACTAGTACCAATTCTACTACTACTACTACTACTACCACTATCACTACCACTAAAACTAATACTACCAATCTACAAATAATACTACTACTACTACAAATACTATTAAATAAAAACTACTACTACCAATTCTACTACTAATACTACCACTAATACTACTACTATTACTACTACCAATTCTACTACTACTACTACTACTACTATTAATAATGCTACTACTACCGATTCTACTACTAATACTACCAATTCTACTACTACTAC